GGCAAAAGTTGATGGAATTTTCTCTGAGATACTAGTTTTCAAAATGCAAGCAGACAGCAAGATGCAGTACTAAATACTGCAGCCCAGGATAGGGTTTATTTTAATGTATTTGTCCCAGAATCCCGTATCTTTTTTTTTTTTTTTGAATCAGTGGGATTCAAGGCCCCATGCAACTGAAGGTTTTAGAACAGTGTTTTTCAACCCTGGTTACTCTAAGCAGTGTGGACTCCAACTCCCAGAATTCCCCAGCCAGCATTCTGGGAGTTGAAGTCCATACATCTTAAAGTGGCCAAGGTTGAAAAACACTGTTTTAGAGCAATGTAAGTAAGTTGATCTTGCACTAACTCAGCTGATGTTTAGTTCTGAAAGGGCTTAAATACATGGAAAATTGTCAGGAAGCAAGCAAGTCAAGGAAAAATCTAATCTTTTCTTTTTTCAAAGAAAAATATTTTTGTAAAGGAGGGCTGGCCGCTCCTGCTAATGCTTGATTCTGCACCGAATCAAACTGTTAGTTCAGGTGGCATCTGGAATCAGCTCAAACTCTGTTTAACGTTTGCTTTGCACTCTTATGCTAGGATTTGCCTCAAACATTTCATATCATATTCCCCTCCAACACATCGTTTAGGCTGTTAAAACTAGGGAAAACTTGGAAAGAGGTTTTCTTTCTTTCTTTCTTTCTTTTTTTTGAGAAGTGCAAAGACCCCAAAAAAAGCAGGGAAGAAAACAACCTTGAGTTGGCTTTGCCTGCTACATAACTAGCAACCATGAAATACAACAAGATTTACAAGGTTCAGGGAGGGGAGCTGTTATTTAATCAGCAATGATTCATTTGGGAGAAAAAAACCAGAACATATTAAGGGTGGATGAAGAAAAGAAAGTGTGCAGAACAAAAACAAACAGCAAACCTTTTGTTTTTTATTCCTCCTGCTGGCTTAAAAGGAACCAAGAGAACTCCATGGTAGAGAGACAAAGACCATGCTAAAATATCTGATTCGGAGAGAGTATATGCAAGCAGGTAAGTCAGAAGAGCCACTGAGATGTTCCTCAAGTTTGGGTGAGAATCAGATTTGAGGATATCTCTCTATCAATACCTACGCATGTCGGTTTTTCTGCACTATTTGTATCCTACAGTAGACAGTACGGCTGTGCAGGGTTTTGGAGTACTTCAGACTGCCTGGGGCATGCAGACAACCCCTGTCTGCAACCCTTTCAACCAAATGCGTCTTTTCACCAGGATCACTGTGGAAGGCAGCTGTGCAGTCCTGGGAAAAGGTGCAGCTGCTGAAGGAGCTGCAGACAAGTTCTTGGTGGGAGTCTCTGCATGCCCCAAAACATTTTTCCCCTTTCAAATCCAAAGCACTGCACAGCCCTAAGAGAGAGTACAGATCACGTACATCAGGCAATATACATTGTACAGGTCACTATGCAAATAGGATCTCATGCACAGGATTTTGGAGGAAAACCTTTTTTCTTCATGCATTCATTTCTACGCAGGTATTTGAACCAAGCAAGAAATACATGATAGGCTCACTGCTACAAATCGAATCAAACACATCTCAATCAATCTGGATCCTTTTGGCACACAGGCACAGGCCTTTTAATAGTCTGAATCAGTCCAAATCAAATACAGCTGGGTCCAGTGGGGCAATTTGTTCCAAATAATTCAGATATTCGGTTTGAATGTTCAGGCTGCATCAGACCTCGTCCATCTACCCCTGTCTTCAAATTCATTAAGGCTCAGCCCATGGAAACAATTAATTCTATTGTTTATTTAGACAGGGAACCAAAACAGGGATAAGAAGAAAAGAACTGCTTATGCAGGCAAAGCTTTATGGCCACAATTCCTGCTAATTAAAAATAAATTAATCATGAATAGAAATTAATTTTATTAATTATATTAAGGCTGATATGGATCTAAGCCTTAAATTTACAACTCAAATGTTCTAATCAATCTCCCTGCCACAGACACACATCAAGAGACAAATGAAATCATAATTTGATTGCATTTTTATACTCATGTCCCTTAATCTACAGAATAACAGAACAATATGAGCTGAAATCTGATCTATGCAAGACAAACAAACCCCCTAAAATCCATAGATTTAAGCAACATGTGTAAATTCAGGGAAACATAGGCACAAAATATGGTACATTTTAAAACTTTTCTGAGTAAATACATGTATCAGGAAAAGCCTAAATAAAAGTGCAGCATCAGAGGAAACACACATGCACATGACTGAACTTGGTTCTTCTAATTCACCAAACTGGAAAATAAAATTTCACAGATTTGCTACCTATATTCTGATGCATTAAATGAAAAATGCCATTTTTAATTGTTCTTTTGAAACTGATGTTCACCTGCCTCATCCTAGACTGTAGTTTTGATCAACAGTACCCAGTGAAGTTAACAGCAGAGGGCAGTCGAGGAGCTTATAGGATAACGTAAGTAGTATCTTTTTTCCCATCCATCAAGGCCACATTCAGAAACAGAAGCACCATGAGAAATATTTTGTTCAAAGACTGAATCTCTCTCACAGCATGTAGACTGAATGGCACTGTTGTCTTAGACAGTAAAACCAGCCAAATAGAACCTCATGCTTTGAGAGACAAAATATGTTAAAACGTGCCTTTAAGTGCTTCTTCTGCAATTAATCTTGAAAGAATACAGTTCACAGCACATTTGTTTGATGCACTCAATATATAATCAGATGCTTTAAAATCTTAAACAAGAAACAACTGCCCTGTTACTTCCCTGGATTCAAAGTATTTCATTCATTTCTCTGCTTCTTGTAGAAACATTAATTAGAAATCAACTGTTATGTATAGATTTTGACACAATTCAAGCTCATGCATCTTTCCTTGTGAATCTGGTCACATAATTCCAGAAATGCCTCCACTGGCGTTATGAGCTACTGAACTGCCACCATCTTGAAATGAAGTCAATAGGGGAGACTCTGATTGCCAGAAAAAATAGTTGTACACCAAATCCCTTAGAGAAGTATTATTCTGACCACTGAAACAGACCGTGCAATGTCTAACTTTTACATAAGAGAAGAGAAAAGAAAATTCTTGGTCAATAGACAGGCACTATCCAATAAGTGTTTTTGCACTGGTGCCCAGTACTGTTTTCTTTTTGGTCTTTCTAACACAGAGCTTGTAGCCTTAGGGAAATTTCTGAAGCCAGTCTGCCTAGAAGTATATTGAATGTAGCCTTTGTCACTTTTAACCATGTCATCTGATGTAAAGATAAAAGGGCCTGAAAAGTAACATGGAAAAATAGGATTTGGGTTGTTTGTTTCTTTTTCTTTTGGTCTTTCTCCTGAAAAAACTGGAAAAAGAAAAATATATTATGAAACATTTCTTAATATTTTCTTCTCAAAAATAATCTACCAAATGGCTTAATATTTGGAAATTCTCACACTAAACGAAATAATCTAATGTGAAAGGGTTGAAAAGCTTCTTTCAAATACATGCAAAAACTTCTTAAATTCAGTTTTTCAGAAGTTCATAAAAATGAAAGTTCTGAAGTAGAACTATTGGTACTACTTCAGAGAGATTATTCTTCTATTTATACAATTAAATTATTCATATTTAAATCATTTTATTAGGATATATGGGAAATCATCTGGTATATGAAAATCAAGCACTACACTAAGTATGATTCTCAAAGACCGAATGCTCATTCAGATAAAGGTCCCGTTTAAACCTCATGATTATGCTAAATTAAGATGAAATCCAAATGAGAAAATAGCAAGGCAATCCTTCTTTGGAAAACCTGGGCAAAAGGTTGAATACGCATCATAGACAGTAGGCTCAGATTATGAACTTTGGTTATTTGAGAAGATCTAATACCAGCATCATTCCTGCCCTCCCCCACCCCAATGTAGTTAATTAAAACAAGTATTCATATCTAGAAATTAGGTGAACTCAATCAGAATCACCCTAGCTAAAGAAGATTTAACTTTTTTTTTAAACAAAAGACAGTATATAAATTGTAAAATTATAGAGACGCAGAAGTCCAGTACACAAATATTAATGGAAGATGGCCTTGGAATCTATGTATCATATTTCAACAAACTTAAAATTACACTTGCAGTAATAAAAATGTTATTCCATATGCACTAGATCATGAGGTCAAAATAAAACATTGGTTCATATAAAGAGATCTTATATGGTAGCTCCCTTTTGGATGGATGTTATTTCATATATTTTGTGTTTTATTTTGCTTCAGGATTTTTTTGTGTGGTTCACTGTTTTTCAACAGATGTCTACGTCCTTTTGAATTATATACCAGCACTATGGAAATTATCAGGAAATATTGTGCGTGTTTGTAGTCAAAGAGCAATTGATACTGCAAGGTTGGAAGAATACCCATTCTTATCAATTCTGTAATGGCCTGGAAAGTTCAGTTCTCTAAAATACTCACCCGAAAGAGTCTCAATATCTCTGAGATAAGAAAGTACAGGATACGGTCAAGTGACTACTACCTCAAAAGTACTATTTATAACTAATATTCATTACTGTATTTTTAAAAATGCCAGCCACTATTTACTCACGTTCTGCAAAAATTTATACCAGTAAAAGGTCACATTTAGTGGTTTAATTTAAAGAAATTATCATGAACAGAGGGGGCAAAAACACAAGGGAATCACAAAATACAAGATATGTTTACTTGTCCTTTAACATTTGACAAACCAAGGCATTATTTTTATTGATGAGGTGCTGATGCCTCAGAGATGATCTCTCTTCCCCAAGGAAAGGCAGACAAAGAGCAGAAGAGCAGAGAGACAATCAGGAAATTGGCAGTCTGGTGAATGCAATCTCAGAGGCCAGAAGAACTTAAAAAAAATAGTATCCAACCAAGTTGTCAAGTTGAGGAAGGAATAAAAGCATAATTTAAAACATCCTGGAAGGAAATTAACATCATTCATTCAGGCTAACACAATAATGTAAGAGGTTTACCAAGAGGGCCAATTTGGGAAGAGCAGAAAGATACTTACGGTACCAGGCCTAGGATATGGAATTCGTCCATCATATTGAACCCAGCGATGGTCCACACTTTCTTTATGGGCATAATAGCCGCTGAAAACCGCTCTGATGTCAGCCATGCTGTACACACAAATTGCTGAGCCCTTGAATACAGAACTGGAAAGGACACAGGCATGTCATTGATCCTGTTCAATATAGGCCTGGAAGTACTACTCATTTCAAAGACAGGTGACAGATCATGCATGAAGTATTTTTTAGAAGCTTCTCAAAGAACAGATTATTAATGGCAGGCAAGTTTCCTTGAAAGGCAGGTTATTAAGCATCATTGATTGTTCCCCCTGAAATTTCAACTGCAAGGGATTGTTGGGAATGTTCCACCAATGTCTCTCAGCACAAATTAAGCAATGGTTAAGTTGGATTTCCCAATATACCTTTTGTTACTAAAGAAATCTCCCAAAGTCGGCACCCTCCATTTAGTGAAACTGAATTGTCATATAGGGCGTATAAGAGTGTCTATAGGAAATAATGGACATGGAAGTGTTTTATGAGGGAAAGAAGCATGAAAACATTGATCTAAATCATTACAGTTCAAAATCTATATTTGATTTTTCAAATTCCCAAGTCCATTGAGAATTCAAAAATTAAAATAAGGATTTGGAACTATCAGTCCACACAATGAACATTCCTACTTTCAGCTATCAATCCCAGAGAGACCTGTTTGTCAGGACCTACACCACTTTAAAGGAGATATAATTCTAAGGAACCTTGTTCTCTCACTGAGTCTTTTCTCAGAATGACCCTGTTCAAGTAGTCTTTGAAGAGAAGTTTGGAATAATACTTTACTAAGCACTGTTCCCACCAGAACTTTCATTTTTCTTAGGTACATATCAGAAGCCAGTACCTGATAACTCTTCTGAAGGCCTAAAAATGTTGGATTTTAATCACTACACCCCTCACTGAAAATACTTTCTGTTAAATTTTGCAGAACAGAAAAGAATATAGCATGAGAGCTGATTAAAAATACTGTACAGAATCCCAGGGCTGCATTGGGATTATATGCTGTATTTTTTCATGCCTTTCTCCCGAGGTGCTCAGAACTGCATCTGAGCCTCAGAAATGTCTGAGAGGAACCTTAGGCTAAGAGCACATGCCTTGTCCAAGCCCACACAAAGAGTTTCATAGGTGGGGATTGGATAGGAATTTTGATTTCCCCAAACCAAAGCCAACACTCTCATCCCTAGACCAGTTGCCTCTCACAATGTGGCGCTGGGCAAGTCACCAATTCTCTGCCTCTCCCCTCCTTCTAGAGCTGTTGTAAAAAGGTAAAATAACATTTATTGTAATTCAATCTGTAGCCTAATATTTTAGCATAATCCATCAAGGAAATTCCATTAAAAAAAATTTTTTTTGTATAGATTTGGATTTAAGGCCTGAAATATACCTGGTGGTTGTGAAAACTCCATACACCATGGGATTCCTTTCATCTCTTGTGGAAAGTAAGAATATATCTTCTGCAATGGATAACACATTATTTTAAAGCTCAGATTATATGCATTTTATAATATATCATGCAGTGTAATGCTAATACCTCAGAAAAAAAGCTGGCAGAAAGGCGCACATGCACACCCCCAGACACATATACAACATTCTTATTTATTTTATTTTATATTGTTTATTCACAGGATGTACTACTTCTCTGTTTATAATTACTGGTCCACTTTAGTAATTATGCCCCACAAATTTTAACCATTAATCTTTTGCACATGGTAAAAATGTTTGTCTGCCCAAACTCTAAAAGTGCTATATGTTTATGTTTGCAGATACTTTAGGCATATGTATAACATTGCGAAGAATTAAAAATGATTTAAACTTCTAGCATTTTAACTATTGTGCTCCACAAACAGAATTTTATGATTCATCATTACTTTAATCTTGAAATCCCTTTTTCCCTTCTTAGGACTGAAAGAGATATAGTTGGCAAGTAAACATAATGACGTAGCATATGACAAACTATTTTTTCTCTTTTTCCCATACCTGATTAACCCATGAATGTAGATTCACTAAGTGAGTCACAGCTCTAGTTCAAACTATATTGCTGTTTCTAACCTTTATCATAGAAAAAAAAAAGATGAAGAGTTATTTATCACTTTCCTTCATATTCTTTTCTTCCCCAGAAAGCCTTGCACATAGAAATCTTGTGCATCAGGGAGAAAGGTCCAACATTTTTTTGTGATTTGCTACTTTAAAGTTGAATAACACATAACACACATTTATGAGAAGAAATCTAAAGTATATTTTCCATTATTATTTTTCTGTACAAAGTCAAACATATGTTTTATTTGTCAGGATCAAGAATGTGTAAAGGAATTCAAGAATTCTTGATTAGCATTCTTTACAGGCTTTTTAAAAACATTTGTACTCCTTATGAGTTATTTTCTTTTCAAAGTCTACAAAAATTGCAAAAACTATTGCTACTTCTCCTATTTATAAGAAATGTCAATTGTACATTCCATCTTTTTGCCCATATAAGCAGTCTGCTACTGAACTAGAAACAGGCTTTCAGATAAGTTCTGTTTAACAAGATTATTCTATGAATTCTTTCTGTTTCTGTGTGTGTGTGTGTGTGTGTGTGTGTGTGTGTTTTCCAAACCATGTAAATATATTAATTCTCTTCCAAGGCATCCAGTATCAGGTGCTTCTGAATCCACATTGTTGGGTTCACGGAAGTGTTCACTGTTCAGTTCCATGACTGAAGAAAAGAATCAGCGACAACTGAAATTCACTTACGTAGTTCATCAAAATGTGTATCAGCTCCCTCTGGACCTGGGATGGAGCAAACAAGCCTTGCTTTCAGGAACGTTGTCCACTTGTTGATCAGACTGCGTTGGCCTCCAATGTCATTCTAAAAAATGAGAAAAGCATTTTTTAAAAAAATATATGTTGGTTAAAAGGAAGACTTAAGTCAAGTGAAATAGCTGAAGAGAGCACCAAATAGACCAAATCTATTATGAGAAGCCATGTAGCCCAGGAGGACATCAAGAAGATAGGGAATCTCTGTCCATTTCCTAAAAGGACTGTTCACTTTATTTATTTGATTCCCCCCATCTTCTACTCCAGTAACACAAAAGGTTTAAAGAGCCAACTGTAATTCATTGTAACCTTTCATTAGTACCTACTGGTTGCAGCAACTGATCCACTTTTGTGAAGCACTGCATTTGAGGCTTCAGTTACTACTGGCAATTATGGCCAGGTTCAATTCACCTACAAAACCAGATGCAGCCTGTTTGGCTTTGACTGAGCATATTGAATGAAGACTGCAGCTGCTAAACCATTGGTTTATGGCAGTGTTGTCCAAACTTGGCCACTTTAAGATGAGTGGACTTCAACTCCCAGAATTCCCCATCTACAAACTTCCAGTGAAGGAGAGTCCCCAGCCTCTAAAGGCAGCCTGTTCCATGGCTGACCATCTCTTCCTGATGTTCAACCAAAATCTACCTTGGAATTTAAACTCATCATTTCTTGTCCTGTCTTCTCAACTATTCTAAACAATTCTGCCCCATCTTCTACATGTGATGGTGTCATGCAAGTTTAGCAACTTTTCCAGTTCCAGAAAGCAAAAACAAACAAGAAATCATGCCTTTATTTCTTGGCATTTTATCCCAAAAATTCAGCAATATGATTTTGGAGGGGAATTACCAAAAAAAAAGGCTACAAGTTGTTACTGAAAGGGCAATGCTTATCAGAAGTTACAAACCAACAGGTCTGGTTCAGGGAGTGTGGGCTTTTAGATGTTTCTAGAATATTACTCTCAGAAACAGCTGGTTATGTTGACATGAAGGTGGGACTTGGAAACATCTGGAAAACTATCCACTGGTGACGGTATATTCCATACAAATCTGGGCATGGCTATTCTTGGCAACCCAGCAATGTCATCTTTTCACATATTCTAAACAACAGTACATTAGTAATCAGGAGCCAACTGGGCTATTATGTTCCCATGTTCACTTTTTTAATGTCAGCTACTTCCTTCCCTTTAAAACTGCATTCATGCCCTGGGCGACTGAAGGAAATCAAAAGGCCCTGACTGATCCCTCCCGGAATGCAGGGATATCATTTGGCTGATGAAGTGATAAACCTCCTTTGTGCACCTTTCATGAAGGCAGGAAGTTGTTCCCTTGGCTGAAACAGGTGACCCTATGACTTTGGCTCTCAATCCAGTTTTCTTCTACAGCTGGATCAATTATGACTGAAATGGATTTGTTAGCCTCTTATGTGTCAAAGCCTTGCTACATTTCTAGAGCTTTCTTTTCATTACAAATAACAATTTTATTAGCACGAACTGCTTATTAAACTCTTATACTGTAACAGAATACTTTGCCTTGAAGTGCCTTACTCTGTAATACAAGGAAATAGCTATAAAATCTCTGTTTATCTTTGCACTTGGATCTTAGAAACCTACATAAAGATTGTCAAATGGAAGATAGATCATTTACCTTGAGAGATTGTTTACAGTCAACGGATAATCACAAAAAAAACTGAAGCCTTCTCTTAAACAGAAAAGAGAGTAAGAAGCAATTCAGGGTAATTATATCTCTGAGTATGTTCTCCTAGTAATACATAACAAAGGCTCCTGCGGAACTTTTAAGATTAAGCAAAGTTTGATGAACCAGATTCAAGGTTTTTGCTGCAACAAGTAAAATGGTTACCATTCTGGAAACTATTTCAGTAGAAGGCCTCTTAATAATATTACTCTAGAAAGATATTTAATTATCTTGTAGACCATCTTGTATAAGTACATCATCTCTTTGATCATGTTATAATTTGGCAAAAAATAGCTGCAGTAATTACTTATAGCTTCCTATGGAAAACATGTCACTTCAAGGATATTTTTTTTACAGTTTTATTTAATGTTTCATATGTTTTATATCCATCAACAACCTCAGTGACATCTAGAAACAGATTCCTGTAAAAAGCAGAACACAGGTCTGGAATCCAACATTTCTTTACATTTGCCATACTATACTAAACAGACAGTATTGTATTGCATTGCAATTTTTCTGCAAACAGCTATTTTCCCCTTTGGGAAAGTTTGAATAACAAATTCCTTGTGCACAAAGAAAGGACATATTCAAAGATAAGATGTTTGAAAACTTGCTATTATGTAGTAATGCCAGAAAGAGAGAAAACAAACAGTAAAAAAATTATTAGGTGTGATTGTTATCCATAGATTGATGAATTAGAAAGAATAACAGTGAATTCAGCTCATTATCAATTAATCTGCAATCTAGATAAGAGAAAGTGTTTCTTTGGAGAAAAGGTCTGTGTAAAGACTATAGTTTAACAGAATTTTGCATCCTGGATTCTCAATATCATTAAGAGTTGCAGATGGAGGCCAAAACATTTGTTACATCTTTGAATGACGATCATTTGCATTACTAGGCGCATGGTTTGAAAAAGCCTTGAATCAAGAAATAGTGGATGAACAAGTGCAAGCATGTATTTATAGACTGGCTGTTTAAGTGCTGCCTCTCTCCAAAGCAGGGGGAAAAAAGTCACCAATTATATTTTAAATTATGCAATTACCATAATTTAAATAGACAGAATATATCAACATAGTGCACAAGGCTGCAACCAGATGACCTGTTGACTTGCTGTTGGTTACCCAGTTCCTAGATCAACACCTTCAGTCCTTGTTTTCCCTTCAGAGCTTGACTACCCTTTCAGAAAGGAGAAGCTTTTCCAAAGTAGAGAATTCTTGACACAGGATGGTAGCCAGATATTAGCATGGTACCAGGGCATTGTAAATCTAAGAGGTTTACTTTTACTACAAGTCAACTGGTTACTGTCAAACCTTAACAAATCATAGACATTGTGGAGCATTTGCCCTAGCTAGATTTGCCTGCCCTCAGCAGCTATTGATGGCGATTATCAGAAAATTCCTTTCCATGAGCATCTCTGCCCACATAGCTCCCATGTCATAGGGGAGCTGCCACGTGTTTTACCGCATTGCAATTTTTACAAAGACTAACACGATATATTCATTACGCTCCTCATGAAAGAATACGGAAATGATGACTGATATAACTTCTTTCTCCTGGCAGAGGAGAAGGGTGCTGTTTTAAAAAATGGCCAAATTCTGTCTGGCTGCCGTAAGAATAAGGCAGCAAATATTGTTTAACACAACTCCTCTCATATCTTTAATGTTAACTTTAACCCTAACTTTTTTTTTCTTTCCCTTTTTTCCTTCATTGTTCTTTTGATGAACAATGGGAGATTTTATGTATACTTTAACCTATTTTATATTTATAGAGGCTGGTCTGAGACCATAATGAAGCTTATTCTATGTTTTTTTCAAGGCATTTTTTGTGTGATTACATACAGTACTTAATTCAGTATTAGGACAATTCAGTGATGCCCTCTTGGTAGAGATCACTAAAAGCAAAAGATGATTTTCAATGTTCAAAGCACCTTGTGATGAAAGGCTCTAGCAGTTAACAAAAAAGATGAATATTTCCTGGCTTAATCTCAAGCTACAGGTTTGCACTTAGAGGTCAGTGGCTACACTCCAAACATTCTGCAATAAAAGACAGAAAAGATTTATATTTCCTCTCTAATCAGGCCAGTCCATTCTATCGGATGTACTAAGAACTTCTGGGGGAGGGATGGTGAACTGAAGATGGCTCTGAGAAAGCGGAGCTGATGACTGCAACAAAGAACCAAGGAACCAGTAAGTAGACCAGCTCCTTGGAACCTCTCTGGATGAGGAGAGGACGGGAGATTGCCCACAGTGGTTTTCCATGGTTTGAGTGCCAGGAGAGAAAGGGATTAGCCATCTTGCTCACAACCGCAGCAGAGACTTTTAAAGGACATTAAGTTTGCAAACCTCCCTTTCTAATCTCTTGTGGAAATTGCTCATTAAATTCCCTTTCTAATCACTTGTGGAAAGGGAAAGAACTTCCCTTTCTATTCACTTGTGGAAATTGCTCATTAACTTACTTCTAAGCTATTACAGACCTTCAGAATGACAAGTTTGAAAACTCTGGGTGAGTCTGCCTTTAATCCTGAATGAAAGAAAACTTTAATTATAAGCTTAAGAATTTAAAGAATCTGAAATAAACAGCAAAAAGCTAAATGAGATTTTGATCTTAGAAAGTTATAAATGGACTAAGGGTCCACTTAAAATTGGAATGCTGAAACTTTTACAATAAGATTTTGGAATTAATTATGAAGTACAAACAGCTTCTCATGGGAAATAGATCCTGTTTTGGTTTTTACAAGACACAACATAGATAAATAATTTATGACAAGTTTGAAAACTCTGGGTGAGTCTGCCTTTAATCCTGAATGAAAGAAAACTTTAATTATAAGCTTAAGAATTTAAAGAATCTGAAATAAACAGCAAAAAGCTAAATGAGATTTTGATCTTAGAAAGTTATAAATGGACTAAGGGTCCACTTAAAATTGGAATGCTGAAACTTTTACAATAAGATTTTGGAATTAATTATGAAGTACAAACAGCTTCTCATGGGAAATAGATCCTGTTTTGGTTTTTACAAGACACAACATAGATAAATAATTTCATGATTTATCATAAATTGGACACTAGAGGGAAATAAGAATTTTATCTAAGAAAGTTATAAATGGACTAAGGGTCCACTTAAAATTGGAATGCTGAAACTTTTACAATAAGATTTTGGAATTAATTATGAAGTACTACCTAGCCGGGTAATGAAACGTTTGCAATTTTGGTTTTTACAAGACACAACATAGATAAATAATTTCATGATTTATCATAAATTGGACACTAGAGGGGACTAAAGATTTTAGGTAGAGGAAAGATATTCAGGCCTGCAAGATGATTATGACAAGAAAAATAGTGAAGGAGACTTCTGAAGAATGGAA